TTTAATGTTACATGAAGCTAATTGCAGCATTATTTCACTTTAAAGTCCATTCCATTATGAAGTACTCTTATGCATATTAAGCCCATTTTAAATATGAGAGACACCATATTCATCAAGTGTACATTCCTTTGAGCAAATGAAACAAGACACTACTGATATTCAGAGTTCACAGAGACTAACTTCACATCATTTATTAATATTATGAACAAATAAAAAGTTTCATATAGGCAAAATCATTTAACAATTTGAAAAGTAAAATCACATTGCAGGTCTGTATTGCTGTATTACTACTGTATATAACTAGTAATACAAACATATTTCATTGGTAACCTGTACCCCGATTAGTGTCATATTAGTTGTGCAAGTTGTTTCCATAAACTTATGAACTTCAAGACAATACAAAACACTATAAAATTTTGATTATGCAGCAATACTGTTTAGCCCTATAGCTTATTACTTAATTTTATAACAATTCAAACATGTACATTCATTAAATCAAAATAAAATTATTGATCATTTAATTTGAATTTTCATATTTCAAGTAAGCAAAAAATTGATTTTGACTGATGATAAAATTTCTGTCTTTAAACATTTTTCATGCATTAAATACTCTACATGTAGCTTTTTATGCATCTGTTTTGAAAACAAATCTCAAGATTCTTTTTCCTACAGTACACAAGATTTAATTTTCTCAATTGCCAACAAACGTTTATCATTAGTGTTAAGAGGGTCCTGAAAAAATAAAATGTCCTTTAAAAAAACATTTATAGAATTAAAGAAACTTAAGTTGGAAACAAAAATCAATGAACATTATATACATGATATAACATTTCATATACAGTAGATAAATGATACTTCAGAATATTTAAGTGTATTTATAACATCATAAACTTCTCCAGTGAGTGTGGAAGAAAATTCAAATTTGAATTTGAAATATAAACAGAATTTGTTGTCTTGGAAAATAGTTGCTACCCATAGAGCTCCGTAAAGGACATAAATTATTTGCAATTTTCAAGAGGGATAAAACACGTTCTATTACACTTCTGTATCCATTCTAATATTTTTTTATTGCTTCCTATTTGTAACATTGTAAGCATAGATGTACATAGTAAATCACAATGTTTTAAAAGTAACAAAACACAAAAGCGCATGTACATTAAGCGCATAAAGCACATAGAGTATATATATTCTCCTTTTATCTGGTCCTTTTTATTAAAATGAAAACATCATGTAATCGCCATTACGAATGAGGGTAGCGCTTACAAGAAATGTCTTGTTTTTATTGAGTAGCTTATATTGAAAATATGAGATTTCATGGAAGGAATTCATAACAAAGTACGGTAAAGATTTCCAAGCAAAACTGATATCCTGATATTTTATAAGTATGAATACATGTTTTATTAGAATAAAATTTTTATGTTTGACGTTAGATCTAAATACATGCTGTGTACATCTAAGGTAATACCAAGTTTTTTTAAGTTAAAAAATATATATCCAATAAAATGAAAAAAGGTATATATATAATTTCCTATTCCGAGTGGTAAAGGAAATAAAATAGGTACGAATTAATGAAGAGTGCAAAAATTAATTCTACAGCTTTATGATTATAACAGCAATAACTCTACCAATTTCATGAATATAATCAACTTACGGTAATTAATCGTGTGATTATGCAAGTGTTAATTTTATGTTTATACAAGTAATTTCCGTTAAAATTGTATCTATAAATTATACATTTTCAAAAGCTATATAGACAGTTTATTTAAATTAAAAAAAAACTAGAGCAAAGCTCGTTGCAAAGCAAAGAGAAGGTCTTCCGTCCTGTTTTGACCGGAAGTGACGTCAGCAAAAGGAAAGCAATGAGCTTAGTCGTCTCCAGTCACTTTTTAATTTCAATTTTGCATCAAAATCTAATAAATAAGCTTTTTTTGGCTATTTTGATGTCGATGGACGGAAAATTAAGTTTTGTGCTTCCTGTGATATATGTTACCCAAAAACTTGTCAAGAACAGCAAAAATATGCATTTTCTGACTACTTCCGGTTTGACCGTAAGTGACATCGCCGGACGCATTTTGACGACCTCATTAGAGTAAGCTTGACATTTTAAACAACATTGCTTCTTGGATGTATTACAAATTCTCAATACTTCTTGAGATATCTGGAAAACACTTTTGGCCCCTCTAGATCCCTTAGTTTAGGGGCCAGCCCTTTTTTCGAGATATCATTTAAAAGATCTTGTAATTCCCTTCTACTGATTCTGGTGATTAAGATTTTTTTTTTTCCTTTTGTATATGCCAACTTTGAGGCCTCATATTTTAATCATTTCTCTTGGATTTTGCTCAAATTTTCTGAGTTGATAGATGTTACTAAACTCTATCAGAATGCTATCTAAAATTTCAAAAAGTCACTTCCGGTTTTGAGTTATTTCCCTATAATTTAATTTCACTTGTATCAAGCAGTTTCATTGGCTGAATCATTCAGAGGAACATATAATATTTTGGATAATATAAATTGCCTACGTCACAATGAGTTACGTCAAAAACGTGTTACACCGCTTGACGTTACTTTTAAAATAATGCTCAATTTGAAGTCTTTTTCCGGTGGAAATATTGTCTCATTGTCTACACTGGAATTAAATTATAAGGAATAATTCTAACAATTTTTTTTTTAGAAAATCAAGGCCCTTTTTAATGATTTCAATCCCTTATGGTACCAACTTAAATGTTCGTCAAGTACACAATACTCTGATCTTATATTAAAGCATTTTATAGTGGAAAAGGATTGCCCACGAGAAATTTTCAAAAAGTTCATTAATTAAGCAGTAGTTAATTAATAAAGATTGCATTGAAGTCTATGGGGAAAAGCGTTTTTTCAAAATAAAAATTCAGATAATTTGAATATCAATAAATCCTGTGGTGGAAAGATGCATTCATGTCCAGTTCCCTTAATCAATTCGATATTGTCGACATCGCAATGTAAACAATGTCGATACGATATCGCGTTTACATCGTCTACATTGTTATTTTTCTACATGACGACATCGTTGACATCGCAATGTAAACAATGTTGATACGATATCGCGTTTACATTGTCTACATTGCTTTTATTTCTACATTATATATTGACAACCCGATGTAATTAATGTTTAAATTATTTCGCATGTACTGTACAGATGACAAACACTGTTTTCAATTAAGGTTGGAAATCATTTTTTTTAGTTCAATGTAAGAGACATGCTTCATACTTGATGTACACCTGATGTGGACTCATAAGAGTCAAAGATTGCCCTGGTGACATTGTGTAAAAAGTAAACAGATTATATTAGTATTGCCTTATCAATATGAATTGAACTTAATTGATTTTATGCGTTAAATGTATTGTCCACGATTTTACAAAAAAGACCAAAAAAAAAAAAATAATGATGACTTGATGACGACTCGATATAGGCAAACACGGATACTTATATAAACAAAAAATGATAATAATGCAATGTTTACACAACATCAATTCAATTACCAGTTCAACAACACAGCGATGTTGACGTTGTGGACAATGTAAACAAGAATAAAAAGAGGGGCAATGTTGACACGATGTCGACTCGATATCGACCAACATTGCGATGTCGACGATGTGAACGATGTAAACAAGAAAAATTAGAAGGGCAATGTTGACACAATGTCGACTCGATATCGACCAACATTGCGATGTCGACGATGTGAACGATGTAAACAAGAATAATAAGAGGGGCAATGTTGACACAATGTCGACTCGATATCGACCAACATTGCGATGTTGACGATGTGAACAATGTAAACAAGAATAATAAGAGGGACAATGTTGACACAACGTCGACTCAATATCGACCAACATTGCGATGTCGACGATGTAAACGATGTAAACAAGAAAAATAAGAAGGGCAATGTTAATTGACACGATGTCGACTCCATATCGACCCACATTGCGATGTCCACGATGTGAACAATGTAAACATCAGAAAGGGGGAAAGCAATGTAAACAAGATGCTGACGTTATATTGTTAAACAATGTAATATATAGAGAGATAAACAAAGGAATTATTGTCATCTTAAATATGTTATGATATTAGGAGGACTGGTATTTTTACAGCGATGTCGACACTATCGAAAAAAAAACATCGTGCACTGGACATTGAAATATTACAAATAAAATGATAATTAAAAACAATTTTTTTACCAGCTAATTTTTCTTAATTGATTTTTTTATTAATTAAAAAGGGGAGATAACTCTTACCAAAATTCAAGGTCATGAATTAAGACACATCCCACTAAACATACTAATATTAATAAATGGGAAGTATGTCTAAATAACCTGAGTATTCAATGCCTAAATATCTGTTATGTCTTCAATTTCATTGAATTTCTTCTTATTAGGGATTGAAGACCTTAACCGCACTGTTTATCGTTTGGTTCATGTACTTTTAGTTTGGAGTCGAGAGCATCATATGCAATGTTGTTGTTTGGTTTTTTTTTTTAACTCGCATTATACGATTCCTTCTTGTCACAATTTATGTCATCAAATAATACTTCCATATATTAGTTAGGATCTCGGTCAATACAAGAAAACATAATATTTTGAAAAAAAAACTTTGAAGTATTCTCACATATAGATCACATGGAAACACTTCATGTGTTCGATTGACATTATAATTAGCTCTAGAAATCGAATTGAGGGTTAGCAAAGAAATAAAAAAGCTAAGTAAATTTAATTTCCATTCTCGATTACATCCAGCTAAATATACATGATTGCAGAGATAAAGAGTACACAAAAACAAGAATACGATGAATATTCTATGTGCATAATAATGATATGCGCAGTTGTATTGTTTGTGTAATTTTTAGTTTCCTCTGCTCGTGCAATTTTAGATTTTTTGTTTGTGCATATTATACCCCTAAATCTTGTAAAAAATTTCGGATTCGTGTATTTTTCGTTATGTTTGTGTGCAATTTTTACCTATACGTGCATTTTTATTTTACTCGTGAATATTTTTCATCTAGCTCGTGATCGTTGTGCAAAAATAATTTTGAACCAATCGGCCTGCCATAATATACTCCTCGCCGATGTAATTTTTTACATGTGTGTAAAGAAATTGGTGAATAGTTAGAAGATAACTTGCAGGTATGTGTTTAAAAGATATACTATTCAAAACTAGTGCTAATTGTAACGGGAACCGTTACAGATACGAAACGCTCCCCAACTCACTTTTGGTGCCATATTTGTGAGCTTCATTAAATACGACAAATTCTGTGCATTTTTTACTTTAACAACGTTTTCTCAGAAAGATACCAATTATTCAAATTTTAGCATTGCACCCGTGCTCATTTGAATGCATGCGCGTTATGACCATATATCTTGTCTACACTATCTATCATTATATTTTGATATACTATATATTAAGCATTCAGTCCATAAATATTCAAAATCACTCATTCAAGTGTATTTTTTTTCACTATTTCCAATGCACGCACGTGCGTTCACGTGCATGATGACCATACCTTCTTGTAGGCGTCCAATATATTTATCTATGTTCTAAATCCAAACCTGTTTGGTTGAAAAACAAGGGAGTTATAGCCATTTCAAGTTTCAAGCGTGATTTCTTGAATTTTTTTGTATATCATATTGCAGAATATCCTAATGTATAACTATGTTTTAAATTTCATAGCATTTCGTAAAAAAACAAAGGGGATGTAGCCATTTAAAGTTTCAGCCAATCAGATTGCAGCACACGTGCATGCGCGTGATTTCTTGAATTTTATTTTGAAATCATATTGCAGGGTATTCTAAAGTATGACTATGTTTTAAATTTCAAAGCATTTCATCAAAAAACAAATAAGATATAGCCTTTTAAAGTTTCAGCCAATCAGATTGCAGCACACGTGCATGCGCGTGATTTCTTGAAATTTTTTTGACATCATATTGCTGGGTATTCTAAAGTATGACTATTTTTTAAATTTCAAAGCATTTCATCAAAAAACAAAGAAGATATAGCCTTTTAAAATTTCAGCCAATCAGATTGCAGCACACGTGCATGCACGTGATTTTTTGAATTTTTTTTTATATCATATTGTAGAATATCCTAGTTCATGACTATGTTTAAAATTTCAAAGCATTTCGTCAAAAAACAAAAGAGATATTGAGATTTATGTTTCAGCCAATCAGAGCGCAGCGCACGTGCATGCGCGTGCGTTCGTGCTAATTTGACCATGTCATATTATCTACACTATTAATATATACTTATATAATGAGTTTCAAAGCATTTCATCAAAAAATGTAAAAGTTATGGCCATATTAAGTATATCAGTCATTTCACTAACTTAACGCGCCCGCACGTGCAGGCGTATGCGGGCAAAATGACCTTCGTTCCGCACACCTACACTACACACCCATTAACCCTAAAAAGGTTTTAACTTAGTTTGGTGAACAGTTTCTGAGAACACTTCCGCACAAAAAAGTACCGGAGAAGAAATAAGAAGAAAAAAGAATAATAATAATAATAAGAAACAGAGTAAAAACAATATGTTCCCAAACTCCGTTTGGGGAACATAATTACATGATGTCATTTGTCAGTACCCTGTGCTACAATCGGTATAAAATCTACAATTTACAAAGTTTTAGTTGACCTGTGTCGGCCTATATCGGATGCGGTGCCGCCATCTTTTACAATCTAAAATCACAAACAAAGGGAATATTGTCTTAGAGTATATAGGCCAGTTTCTTATATCCTCATTTAGTAGTTCAGTAACAGCTGAGTGACAGTACTAGTTCCATGAATTATTCCAGTCCTATCAGAAACACATATTTTATGTCTTCTAATTCCATGCACATGCATGTGTACTATAATTAGTTTACCAATGTTGGCCAAGAGACACCTAACATACAGGGAAATCTCATTTTACGGTATGATACATGTATATTATCTTTTTGTAATTATCTGTACATGTGTACAAAGAGGGCAGTATCCATTTCATATTCGAGTACTGCATGATTAAAATATACAAGGATTTCCCACTACCCAAGGCAGGACCAAACTCCGTCCTCATTCACAGGTGCAAAAGGCCTCCTTTCCCACCTAAAAAAAATCCTGCTTTTCTCCCCAAACAATAAGTTGCATTCAAAATTTTATCGGAATCGAAATACGCTAAAACAAACTAGTATAAACAAAAGCATCCCAGGTTGGAAATGATAAGTTATTTAAAGATTTCAACATAGAGCGACATGATTCTGATATGAGCTTGAAAGAGTTGTTTTGGTAGGTTTTGAGGATAAGAGTAAAAGGTATTAAGGTTAAGAGTTAATATGTATAAATCCATGTGATATGTTTATGGTCGTTTCTCATCAATTCGTGGTACCCATTGATTCTTGGTATTTTCTTTTTTCGTCATTGCTCACGCGTAATGCACTATTCTGAAAAATCGAAAGTAGAGTTCCTGATGTAAGCAATTATTTTAGGGGAATAATTCAACTAAAATGACGGAAAATTCGGTACGTAATGCAAAAAATATTTGCAAGAGCTGCTTCCGTTGAAAACAAAGAAAGCATTTTTAGGTCACCTGAGTAAACTCAGGTGACCTATTGCCATCTGTTTTCGTCCGTCGTCGTGCGTCGTGCGTTGTGCGTTGTCCGTTAACATTTGAACATTTTCAGCTTCTTCTCTGCAACCACTGAACCAATTTCAACCAAATTTAGCACAAAGCATCTATGGGTGAAGGGGAACAAAAATTGTGAATTTCATGATCCCTGCCCCCATGGGACTTGGGGGGTGGGGCAGGGACCACTAAAATTAATGCAATCTTTAAAAATCTTCTTCTTTACTCCTGGACATCAAGCAGTTAAACTGTTTGCATGATTGTAATCAGCATTGAGTCCTCTACCAAAATTGTGAAATTTATGGCCCCGGGGTCAGGGGTTCTAGTGCTAGGGTGGGGCAACATAAGTATATAGTGAAAATGCATTATTTCTTTGAAAATCTTCTTCTCTGCTCCTGGGTATTAAATAAACTAACTAAGAGCATAGTTATGATGAGCAAGAGTGCCTCTACCAAAATTGTGAATTTTATGGCCCTAGGGTCAGGGGTTCTAGTGTTAGGGCGGGGCTCTATAGATTATATAGTGAAAAGTCATGAATTCTTTGAAAATCTTCTTCTCTGCTCCTGAGTATTAAATAAACTAACTAAGTGCATAGTTATGATGAGCAAGAGTGCCTCTACCAAAATTGTGAAATTTATGACCCCGGGGTCAGGGGTTCTAGTGCTAGGGTGGGGCTAAATAAGTATATAGTGAAAATGCATTATTTCTTTGAAAATCTTCTTCTCTACTCCTGGGTATTCAATAAACTAACTGAGTGCATAGTTATGATGAGCTAGAGTGCTTCTACCAAAATTGTGAATTTTTTTGCCCCAGGGTCAGGGGTTCTAGTGTTAGGGCGGGGCTCTATAGATTATATAGTGAAAATGCTTGTTTCTTTGAAAATCTTCTTCTCTGCTCCTGGGTATTAAATAAACTAACTAAGTGCATAGTTATGATGAGCAAGAGTGCCTCTACCAAAATTGTGAATTTTATGGCCCCAGGGTCAGGGGTTCTAGTGTTAGGGTGGGGCTCTTTAGATTATATAGTGAAAATTCATGAATTCTTTGAAAATCTTCTTCTCTGCTCCTGAGTGTTAAATAAACTAACTAAGTGCATAGATATGATGTGCAAGAGTGCCTCTACCAAAAATGCGAAATTAATGGCCCCAGGGTCAGGGGTTCTAGTGTTAGGGTGGGGGTCTATTGATTATATAATGGAAATACATGATTCTTTGAAAAAAAATTCTTTTCTGCTCCTAGGAATTAAACTAAGTGCATAGTTATGATGAGCAAGAAAACCTCTTCCAAAATTTTGATTTTATAGCCCTAGGGTCAGGGGTTCTAGTGATAGGGTGGGGCTCTAATGATTATATAGTGAAAATACATTAAATCTCTGAAAATTTTCTTCTCTGCTCTTGGGTATTAAGCAGATAAACTACCTATGTAGTTATGATGAGCAAGGACCCTAATCTTCCAGAATTGTGAATTTCAAGGCCCCAGGGTTCGGTGGTACCATAGGGGGGGTGTTCTTATATACTGAAACTGGATGAGATCTGCTCCTTGGTATTAATCGAATATTTTTGAAAAGCAAGGGTGCCTTTTCAAAAATTGTGCAATGTGTGGATCTAGGCCTAAGGGTCAGGGGTTCATGTGTGATAGGGGCATTACTGATTATTGCTGAATATTACTAATTACTTGAAATGCTTTTTTTGTTCCCACACCCTGCCTATGGGTATTAAGTAAACAAACTAAGCAACTGCTAAGTGTATTGTTATGATGATCAAATGGTGCCTCTTTCAAAATTGTGAATGCCATAGCATCTTGCTTAAAACATTAATCAAATTAAATCGCTGGAAAGTTGTTGCATAATGCTCAGGTGACCTATAAGGCCCATGGGCCTCTTGTATAGTTTAAATCAATGTATTGTGGAATCACCTCTTTTGCATGCATATAAACATTACACAACAAAACAAAACTGTTCACCGATTAAATTAATTGTCATTACAATGTATGTAGGCGTACAATGTACATGTACGGCTCTGCAAATCCTTATAGCTAGTTTCTTTCTTCTACACATAATTGTCCTATCTTCATAACGAATATAGAATCTTTAAATTTTTGATTATTTGTAGTAACAATTATTTTTTAAAATTATACCAGTCTGTCTTTTCCTGTAAATTTTCTCATAATTTTTTCCTTTTTCTTTTATTGTTTTTATTTTATGTCGGAAATTGTAACGAATAGAATGTAGTGATACTTTCTTCTTTTAAAATAAATGAAGATAAATAGTTTTTAAACTTTTTCAAAAATTTTAAATCTTATGTTTTACTAAGTACACCATTTTTTTTTTTTTTGTACTTTTGTAGAAAAAGAAAGGTGTCACATTTTTCTGCTTGGGTAAATGTGACAAAATTTATTTCTAAATTTTCTCTTACAGCTAGTACATTAAATTTTATGGTTTTTAAGAAAGATCGCATACACTGCAGGATAAATTCAAAATCAAATATATGTATGCTTGTTGCACACAGGTAGACTTATTTAATGATCGACCTGCAGCAGAACATCCGGGTTTACAGTTTACGTGGCCTTCTTTCTTACTGGTAAGAATTAATGCTTTCATAAAACAAAAGTGTTTCTAAAAATATGACGTAAGACATTTCCGACATATGTTTAATTGTCTTATATAATCGTTAATTGTATTTTAGTTGAATTTTTGTCGTATATACAAACGATAAAATGTGTAAAATGTTTTAAACCTAAACATTGTTTGAATGAGAAGAATACCTTAATAAAGTAAATAAAAGTAAACTTAGATTAAATAAATTACTCATTTTTTTATTGTTCATAAACTTAATATTTGTTCCTGTAATCGCAGGATGTTCGCAATCATATTCAATTTCAGTTTGTCGGGATGCATGAGAAAAGGCCATCAGCAGTGCCTGTGTTGGTATCAGTATCTCTCACATTTTGCCTTTATGTTTGGGCCATTATCACACCCGGATGGTTAATTATAAAATGGGAACGTACAAGAGTGCTACCTGTATCAGTTCATAAGGCAAGATATTGTATTCAATTGCTATAAGCTTGCACAGTTACTTTTATGAAACGCCTGGACTGTCTAATGTAATTCAGTCATTATATGGTGTGCACTTGTCATAATGGGAAGTGCATCTTCCATAAATCGTGTACTTTTACTAGCTATTGTATGGCAAGTAAAGTGTTGCTTTATTCGATAATCTTGTGATTTATATTCAAAATCTTGTGATGTATACTTTCAGTATTTCTAACCAATGAAAATTGTCCTTACTTTCTTAGAATACTATTGCGTCATATTACCCATAATACAATACTATTGCACGCATCACTAGATTGTAAAACATGCATCACAAGATTTTGAATTAACATCATAAGATTTTGAATATACATCACAAGATTTCGCGCATACATCACAAGATTATAGAATATAGGTCACAGGATTTCGAATATATGTACATCATGCACAAGATATCGACCATACATCACAAGATACACTGTAATAGAATATACATCACAAGTTTTTGAATATACATCACAATATATTTAACATTCACCACAAGATTTAAGAATATACAACACAAGTTTTTGAATATACATCACAAAATATTGAACATACATCACAATTAAGATTTTGAATATACATCAGAAGATATTGAATGTACATCACAAGATTTAGAATATACATTACAAGATTTAGGTCATACATAACAAGTTTTTGAATATAAATCACAAGATTTAGAATATACATCACGTGATTATCGAATAAAGCAATGTTTTACATGCTATACCAGTACGCCCTGAATGTATCGTATGGGATACAAACATCTTTTTGTGATGTGCAACGCCAAGCTTTATCTTGTTGATAATGTTAATGTCATCTTCTTTCGAATATATTCAACAATAAATGACTCAAATATAAAACGGATATGGATATATTGATTGAAATATTTTATTGAAATAGCATTTAAATAAATTCTATACTGAACAGATATTATGGATGTAAGTTTTTTTAATTTAATTTCTCCCAGAGTTAAAGATAACCCTAGCTATGGGCAGGATCTGCTTAAATTATACTACATACATGTATGCGGATCTAGGAATTTTAAGTGGCGTTCAAATTAATGCAATCTACTCCAGAAAATATATCTTAGGATTTCTTTGACAAGTATAAGGGAAAAAACTCGTAAAAAAACTTTTTCAAAAGCCTGACAAATGGCAACCTGTTTGAGGGATGGAATGGGTTTGTGCTGCATGCATATCAAACAAACAAAAATGGAAATGAATTAAATTTTGAGAAAGGGGGTCAAGTTACTAAACTTACATCATATAATGATAAAAGCACATCACAAAAAGAAATATTTTCATCATAATATTATTTTTGTCAAGAAATGACTTACCAATGTCACTTACAATTTACTCGTAATGTTACAGGTTACAAAACATGACTCAAAAGAATGTGACCATTATCAGAGACATAAATTAAAACGTTATTTATGTCTCTGCTGCCATTATGGTGTTTGTCGAAGAGTACATTAGATTTTTAGCTCACCTGAGCCGAAGGCTCAAGTGAGCTTTTCTGATCACATTTTGTCCGTCGTCCGTCCGTCCGTCTGTCTGTCTGTCCGTCCGTCTGTCCGTCTGTAAACTTTTCACATTTTCGACTTCTTCTCAAGAACCACTGGGCCAATTTTGACCAAACTTGGTACAAAGCATCTTTGGGTGAAGGGGAATTTCAATTGTTAAAATGAAGGGACATATCCCCTCGCAAGGGGAGATAATCAAGAAAAGAGAAAAATAGGGTTGGGTCATTAAAAAATCTTCTTCTCAAGAACCACTGGGCCAGTAAAGCTGAAACTTATGTGGAAGCCTCCTGGGGTAGTGTAGATTCTAAATTGTCCAAATCATGACCCCCGGGGGAAGGGCGGGGCCACATTGGGGAATCAAAATTTTACATAGAAATATATAGGAAAAATCTTTGAAAATCTTCTTCTCAAGAACCACTGGGCCAGAAAAGCTGAAACTTATGTGGAAGCATCCTGGGGTAGTGTTAATTCTAAATTGTAGGAATCATGACCCCCGGGGGAAGGGCGGGGCCACAATGGGGTATCAAAGTTTTACATAGAAATATATAGGAAAAATCTTTGAAAATCTTCTTCTCAAGAACCACTGGACCAGAAAAGCTGAAACTTATGTGGAAGCATCCTGGTATAATGTACATTCTAAATTGTTCAAATAATGACCCCCCGGGGAAGGGCGGGGCCACAATGGGGAATCAAAGTTTTATATAGAAATATATAGGAAAAATCTTTGAAAATCTTCTTCTCAAGAACCACTGGGCCAGAAAAAGTGAAGCTTATGTGGAAGCATTCTGGGGTAGTGTAAATTCTAAATTGTAGGAATCATGACCCCCGGGGGAAGGGCGGGGCCACAATGGGGTATCAAAGTTTTACATAGAAATATATAGGAAAAATTTTGAAAATCTTCTTCTCAAGAACCACTGGACCAGAAAAGCTGAAACTTATGTGGGAGCATCCTGGTATAATGTAGATTCTAAATTGTTCAAATCATGACCCCCCGGGGAAGGGCGGGGCCACAATGGGGAATCAAAGTTTTATATAGAAATATATAGGAAAAATCTTTGAAAATCTTCTTCTCAAGAACCACTGGGCCAGAAAAAGTGAAGCTTATGTGGAAGCATTCTGGGGTAGTGTAAATTCTAAATTGTAGGAATCATGACCCCCGGGGGAAGGGCGGGGCCATTATAGGGGAATCAAAGTTTTACATAGAAATATATAGGAAAAATCTTTGAAAATCTTCTTCTCAGGAACCACTGGGCCAAAAAAGCTGAAACATATGTGCCCATGGAAGGATCATGGGGTAGTGTAGATTTCAAAATGTCTAAATTATAATCAGTGGGATAGGGTGGGGATGCATTATGTATAACAAGGGGGAAATCTGGTAAAGAACAGAATGGTCAAAGCTTCTCAGGTGAGCGATGTGGCCCATGGGCCTCTTGTTTAAAATGCTGAACGTTCACTCGGCTTGATAAGATGTCTATTCAAGTAATGATGTGAAAATGAATATCCATTGCCTTGATTCTGAATAATCATTCAGTATTTGAAGAATAAATGTTCTTGCAGATACCTCTTCTATTACGAATGTTTTGTTTCTAACAGTGATATATGTTTATATTAGTTCTATCCACATGCCTGTAGATCGCTTTAAAAAAATTGAGGTGTTGAAAAAAAATAAAGGTATGAAACTCTTTTCATAGGGTACCTACTTTCGCCAATAAAATTCTTTTAAATCAAATGCTTTACAATCTTGCTTTTTATCAATATCTATCCATATATAAAAGTCTTCATTAATACCAAATTTCATTCCGTAATTCCTTCTACTTCTCAAGATACTCTGAAATAAATTCCGAAATTGACCTAATTTTTTTTCACTCGACATCAGCTTGGGCCCTGCACTAATTATGAAGCGGGAACGACAGGAAAAATCTTCCCCGGAGTTTATTCTAAACTCAATGAATATTTGCTCATTTGCATTCGAGCTTTACGTGGTTTTTCTCTAATTGGATCATATGATCTTACTAAGTCACAAACGACATTTTAGCGGTCTAATTGTTCTGAAAATCGAAAGATATATTTATATATGCATTCCGGGGAAAAATCGTTCGACCATAGCTTCTGTTACGTTCATAATCAACATAGCGGTGTAGTTGTTGATGGAGACGTTTTTAACTTAATTTTTCGCGAAAGAAATTGATACGAACTTAACCTTACAATCCGGAGAAAGAAATCAACTTTAAAATGTTGAAAGATCTTGCAAATGCTATGCAACTCTTCGCTGCTCTTCAAACACCTTTGTGTTTTACATGTAAATGGCTAGGGGCCCAAGCTTATGTCGAGTAAAAGAAAGTAGGTCATTTCTAGGATTGATCTCAAAATATCTCGAGAAATATAGGGAATTTTGGAATGAGCTTTGGTAGAAATGAAGAATTCACCTATGAATAGATTTAAATAGAAAGTAGAATTTTAGAGTTTGTGAATAAAAAAGATATTCTATCAGCGAAATTCGGTACCCAGTGTAAGAGTTCCATACCTTTTTTTTCACACAATTTTTTTTCAAGCGACCCAAAAGCCTGTGGTTCTATCAAAACAAATTACTTTGATAAATTAACATGCCTTTTTTCTGTTTTAGTATAACCCCCTTGTACGCTCTCTGTTGAACAGTACATCTGAAACTCTGAACACTGAAACGGTAAGAAATCTCATTAACAAAATCGACATTTATTCATTAACAAAACTTTTTGAATGTTTATTATGATACATTTATAGCCTACAGTACATGTATATGTGACTTCCGCCGTCATCAGTACATATTTTTAATTAATTTTTAATTCATGATGAATAGGATAAAATATTTATTACACGCATGATGCGTGTATATTTATTTTCCTTTACATATTTTATAAGTTATTCATGTGATGCATTCATTTACAGCAAATTTTCACAAGAAAGCATCTAATTTAGATTTTTTTTTCGTTTTCTTTGAAATAAATACGAAAAAATTCATATAAAATACTTGAGAGCTAATGTCGGCCTTTTAATGCTGAAACCATTGTTTAAAAAGGTTGACTCAGAGATCTATAAAATAAAAAGTTGGTGTGGCATTCCTCCTTAAACCATAAGCATAAAATGCATAAGTACAGTTTGTTAAGCAAAGATTTACATGTATATGTTGGATTAAAAAAATCGCCAATGCAGTTTGTTAAATGATCTGAAACTACATGTATACTTCTCTTTTGCTGTATACTAATAATAAAAAGATTGTTTCAGATTGTGCAACTAATTTTTCACATACATTCAAGACAATCTCTCCAAAATAACGTTTAAGGATGGATGATGGGCAAAAAACCCCAAATAAACAAGCTTGACTAACGAGCGTATGCTGAGGAGGACGAATGAGGACAAATAAAAAAAAAACAAGATCATTAGATAGATCAAATAACATTGACAGGAATGTGAATTAAACGCCGAAAGAAATCAGATTTGTACTTTTTGACATGTCAGATCTTTGACAAACTGTAAACCATGCTTTATTCGCTAGAATTTAATTTTGGATTCGCTCCACAATCTGCTCGCAAAAATTAATTCCTCGCCATTATTCTTATTTGTTAATGATATAAACCATGAAAATTTAATTTGCGAAAAGAAAGTTCCGCTTATTAAAAAAAATATATGTAAGTATTATTTAGATTTTATGATTGAATGAATGCTTTATATTTTATCTACTCCCAGTCTATTTTTTTAAAATCTGGACAAATTACTCTCTCTTGCAACCTAGTAGTCTGTTAGGGTAGTACTCGTAAACAAAAACAAAAATGACGGAAAAAACCCTGCGTGAGCAGTTAAATCATACAAATCATGCAGTAATATATTCCATTGATTGCAATTACAGGTATTTAAATGAAATTATTTTATATCATCGAGAGCTAAGTAAAGATTCTGAAAACATATATTTACTTTGTAGTTTGCAAAATAATTTACGAAATCTTTTCAGATTAAATATTCTCAGGAGATGAGCATCTTTTACATGTACATCAATAAATGTGAGTCTGGAGCATGCGCTCGAGTGGACTATGAGAAACTCTATGAGATTCCCTCACAACTAAGAAACAGTCTACGTAAGTCAGCAATTCATTAAATTGAAACCGGAAAATTTTCAATATTTTGTTAAAGATTTACGATTAACATAATCATATAAAGAGTACATTTCTTTCCTGTTCAACATGTTAAAGCAAGAATCTTTCATTCCCCCAACTTCGCTAAAAAGAATTGACTCGAATGCATCAATTTGCAAAAATCTATTTTGCATTTTTAAGAAACAAAATCTTTATTTTTAGGCTATAGTTGCGTTATTATAAATTGTAGTTACGTGTAAAGTTTTACGTAATACGTCACGTCACGATTTACATTGACAGTTGCGCTCAAGGTAAATTGTACAAGCCTCCTAACTGCAAGCTTTACGACTGGAACTTTCTTCCAATCCTTGATTTGTCGCTCAAGCAACAAACTATTTCCATGTCAATGTTCATAATATGAGTTGACCAGACACGTAAATTGTTTACACCGGATGCATTTGTCGAAAAAGATCGTGACGTTATGCAAAACTTCACACTTAACTGACATTAATATTTCATCCCTTTTTTAGCTGACCTAATGGAAATTAAGATTGAGGGCACTTCTGTTTTGGATCTTTGTGTGATTGGCTTCTTTTTCCTGCTCTTGAACTTTGGAAATTCTTCTCGAGTCGTAACAGGGGGGGTCAGTGTGCTTTTGGCCGGTAAGACAATGTCAGAGCTTAGCTGGATGTCAATTCCAGTCATAAAGTAATGCATGCAAAAAAAAAATACATATAATATTGCGTTCCTGTTATCGAATTGAAGTTTTCTTATATCAAGTATTTAATTATCTTTTTTTTAAAGCTGTTGTTGAATCTATTATGGTGTACCGAATGGGCATGGCGAACACAACAACAAGCGAAGTTTTATATGCCATCGATTCAAGCTGGGATTATTATAGTATTTATAGTATTTCAATGGATTTCCCTTACTCCATCGTCATTTCCAGTATTGGCATATCTTCCAGTGTCATTGTGTTGTACCTCTGTGGAGATTTGTACTCCAAAATTAGACGACAGCAAACCACAGACGGTCGAAAGCTGAAATTATGTACGATCTTCAATCCCAACAAGTTTACAATTCTGCGAGAAAGCCAAATTACAGAGATGCATCATCTGTACCTTTAAACATATCATGTAAATGTACCTAGGATACTGGGGTATCCTACTAGAATATGTATGAACATGCTTAACTTTGGTTTCATCATGTCACACACACACACACACACACACACACACACACACACACACACACACACATATATAATTATATATTTGTATACTCGCTTTGAGGTTGCTATTATTGTCTTTATTAGTAAAGGCCTTTTTACACACAGAGACATCTGGGAAATGAAAAATTGTCGCCTTATTACATGTTAATGATTTTTTTAAGCTCAAGAATATACTCATCATATTCAAAGGTGTGCTGTAATCTCAATGATGTCTTTATCATATTAACAGTCCACTATTATGCACGTGTAGTTTGTAGAAAAATTAATGTCATAGAATGTCATAGAATGTCTGAACACTTTCATCGATCTTGTATTTTTTTTTTTTTTACATTTGTTAATTTCAGAACGGTGACTTAAAACATCGCCCATTATGATGATTTCACGTCCCAGATTTTTTTACTCGAATATTCAGAGGGTATAATGTTGAAAATGATGGTTATTGATTTACATTGACATAATGACATAAGTTGTATCTGTTGACTGATAGACTATTTTCTTAACAAAATAGCGAATGTGTGGGCAAAACTGCTTACAGGAACATCTTCTTGCAATCATAATTCCATACACATTGAATTCAACCAAACTCTTTTTTAAAATGGGCATCGGTTTGGTGGATATTTGTGCATTCTTACAATCATTTCTCAAATATTTCATACATAAGATTTTGCTAAATAACTTTAAATGGATGAATAATGATTTTTATGAAGGGGTGCAAGCGCACTCTCTTAGAAAACTTGTAATTTTGAAATGAATCACGTTAAAATCTTATTTTATATTTTCCAGTAACAGAGTGGGGAGGATAACTTTTTTTCTGCCTAGCTTTGATATGAAATTTTTATTAAGATGCTGCCTATTTCTAAAAAGGTTAAAGACTGGAAATTCCTGCATTAAAGCACTGATAGAGGAAGCCACCCTAACCCCAACAGAATAGGATTTTTGAGTACGTGCAATCACTGTGACAGATAATTACTAGTATATTTCATTTTTACGTATCATTTTTATAAGCACTAAAAATGACCAACGACATGAACAATAAAAATTGTCAAATTTTCGGGACGCCCTGTCCCTTCCTCAAGACAAAGAAAAAAGTTAAAAATATATATATATATATATATATATATATATATATATATATATATATATATATATATATATATATATATACATATACGAAGTAAGAAATATTCCTTTTGGTGTATTTAGTGAATAAGTAAAATCGAACATTGTATTACCGGTGCAGTTTATCAGGAGACTGTTGCTGCATGTTAATTTTTTGTGGTGGTTGTCTCCTCCATCCCCAACTTACTTTCAAAAACAAAACATTGCTACTGGGCCTTTGCATTGTAAGGATCGCACAAAATATTACTGGTCAATTTTGGTATTCTTCTATTAAACTGAAAATGTCCTACTTGATAGTCAATTATCCATTATCAAGTCATTTCTGTTTTTACAATCAGATAATTTTGGCCTTATATAACGTTACCTCACGTAATACATGTGTATAAATTATGACATTCTGTTTGCAATTTTCCAGTAAAGCAATGTCACACTGCAAACTATCTTAAAGAATAAGTAATATATAGATATCAAAAAAGAAAAGAAAAAACAGTTCCATAAAGCTTGAAGTCTAAACTATATGTTATCAATATTTCATTATTTTTTTTAGATGAGGCATTTTTTTTACCCTTCTTGGGCTTATCTCTTTAAACACTCAATTAACATATCAAACGTGATTTCTTAATATCTGACACTATAGGAATTCTGCCCTCATTATCCCCTATATTCTTTTCTGGTCTGATTTGAAATAAATGTAGCTTTCATCGTGCATAATTTTGTTGTTTTACGTCGACAAGTAGCAATTTAATTCAAGTTACATTAATTCTTGTAGTTTAATTGTATCTGCTGTTGAACGTCCCTCTCGAGAATTTTTCACTCAGTTGGAGATGCCACCACTTGCCGGCGGCCAGTTGCAATTTTTTTCCTATACTCGGCAGTAAGGTCCATAGAGCAGGGAGGAATCTTTTTCGTGCCAGCACCTACTGCGACACGGAACCTCAGTTTTTACTTGATTGTTTGTAGGTTTCAGCCGATTCGGCCATATTCAGCGAGAGCTTGCTTATAACATTTGCATACAAGTTTGAATTATAGGTAGGCCAGTTTAATAAAAAGCGTCCGTGTTTTAATTGAAATTTCTTTAAAAAAGAAAAAAAACTAAGAACAACTTTAGTTATCATATTTGGAATTCAATACATTGGTTTATTGTGCTAGAAAACAGAATGTGTAATTCATCCTTTCATCACCTCCATACAGAGTTTATATATCTCAATTGATTCGATACGCAAGATCATTCTCTACGTATGAACAATTTCTAAACCGAGGTAAATTATTGACAAGCAAGTTTATGAAACTAGAATATCAACATTCTCGTTTAAAGTCACCGTTTTGTAAGTTCTTTGGTCGATACAATGACCTTGTCAGCAAATACAATTTATCCTTGAGTCAAATGCTGACTGACGTTTTTTTTTCATACTAATTGTTAGTCCATTATTTATATACTAAATAGACCACAGCTTTTAGGCGTTATTCCCCGATCATGACAAGGAGCACACAGCAGGTTTGAGCGGTCGGCAGGGGATACTCACTCCTCCATGACACCTGAAGCCACCTTTGATGTTTCGAGGTCTGTGTTTGCTCTGCTATTATTTTGTATTGTTTTATGGACTTTTTGGTCTTGAAACAGTTCGTTGTCCCCATATGACGGTGTCATACATGTAATTCTTTTATCCTTTGACAAGAGCATGCGAAAATCCTTGTTGGAAATATATTTTCAAAGGTTCATCCTCTGACAACGTCATTTTATGAATAAAATTATCTTCCAACGATAGAGAACTCCACAAAAAAGGCGAAGGAAAAAGTGCGAAGGTAAGAGGATGAAAATGCGATTGTGAGAGGGCGAAGATACGAGAGTGCGAATGTGCGAACGCGAAAATGAGAAATTCCGAAGGCGAGGTAGCGATATTAGTATGAATACACCAGAATTAAGTATAAAGTTATTTTTTCAAGAGGTTTTAACATTACAGATCCCTAATTTTTTAACATTTCATTTGATATCATACCAATGGAAGAACTCTTTCCATTTTTCAGGAATCTAAGGGCACTACCTATTGTAATGATAGTAATGTCTGGTTCAAAGAAATGAATATTATGTAGTTTTTCTTTCAAGACATGGAATTTATCTATTATACTTTTAAGAAAATATTGCTTTGTTGTTAGCTTTGTTGATTTTTTTTAACTGATAGAATTCCTCATGGTGATCTTCATGAGACGAAATTTGTCCGGTATTGATTTTATCAAATTATTGCATATTGTGTTTCTGTAATTTTGCTCCTCAAAGTTACACAATGTTCTGTATTTTGTCTTACATGCGCGGAACAATCCCCTGTATTCTCCATTAAAAGGGTTCATGTTTACAAGTTTTTCAGAATTTTTTCCTGTTCTTCGCAGATCAGAATATGACTTTGAAACCACGTTTTTTACGAGATATATGCCAAGGTCCTCTTTCAATAAATTTAGTTCATATTTTTGCACTTCAACAAGTATATTCAGCTGAAGGCTTTTGCAATGGAATCCCTTTCAGAAAATTTTTCATTCAAATGAAATATCATAGTGTACATAATTAACCAATACCACTGCTTTCGTGCCTGGTTTTACTCCTAAAGTACGTACTCGAAAACCTCGGAGTTATTGCGGGGTCTCTTGGGCGGACAATGAACCTGTATTTTAGGTTGTGTAAATCGAACAAATATGCATGTAGTGCAATATAGCAGACTTTTAACGAGGAGCGCTGATTTTTACAGTTGACAGCTTATATTACTTTTACAATAAGGCAATGTATTAAGCTCTATTATACGATATTAATATTTAGCTCATCATATAAGGGCTTATTTCAAAGCACAAATAATTTGTCCTTGAAGAAAATGACAACCGCCCTGCCCTCAACTCCAGATCTTCATAATGTAAGTGCCCCTAACACCATATTTATGACCACTAAAAAGTTTTGTTATCTATTATCAATTCTGTACCTCCGTACATGATAATGACTTAATTGTTAAAGTGAACCATCAACTGTAAAAATCAAATAAATGCTATTGCAAAAGTACAACATATTATGCTTTTTACTGAGCTTTTGGTGGTGAAGCAGGTATTCTAGTTATGAAATGAAAAAAAGAATACATTTATTTAAATATCTATCATCATCATCCTATGTGATAAATAATTTATTATAAATAGCCGGCTCATTTTTAAAACTCTAACACACGCACACTTAGTATATTTTTCAACTATATTAAGACCTAAAAAGCGGGGTGGGGTGGGGGTTTACACCAAGATGGAACATTTTCTTCAGTAAAATTCCTTCAACAGCTCACTGGCCACTTCATCTTGCACTCATCCATATTTTAGCCATTTAGATGTTCAAATTATAATTCAAAAATATTAATTTACATTAATAGTCTTTTTCAGGTTTAAAAAGAAGAATCTCTCCACTTCACACACTTTCCATTGTTACATCTTACATCATAAAATAAAGTTTACTTTAAAAAATATGAAAAGGTGAGACAGCAATGTATTTACTATTTACACATAACTGTATATCTAAGGTTTCACTCACACTATACATTAATCCAGAAAAGCGATCTAAGGAATTATAAGTGCAAAAATTTCAGATTTTACATTTAATAGAATTAGAATTATATTACTTATTAGTTACTTACCATGCAAGAGGAAATGTATGTCTCAATGTCAATGTCTCTGGTATGTAAAACAAGTATGGGTAGACTCAATGACAAAAACACTTCTAACACATATGGCAACCAAGCAAAAATTAACCAAAATCACAAAGAAAACTTGGAGGGAAACACAAAAACCAATCGAAAACCATAAGACACTACTAAAAAACCAATGAAACCAAAAGTTACAAAATGACCATTGCCAGAATATAATTAGAGCCCCGAGACTAACTCTGGACCTCTCTGGAAAAGAATCATTTAAAAATCAATACACTTAACTACAGGTTATATTAATAAAGCTGTAAGAGTGTGCTGCAAGTAAAAACATATATAATTAAATCAATGAGCAGATGCACATGCAATATGCATTGCTATGCTTATGTGCATAATATATAAAAACATGAGTCTGTCACACAAGTTAACTGTGTTGACATGCAGGTTTCCAATTTTGTAAGAAAATGTAATTTAAATATGCGTAAATTTACTTACTAATGCCTGTATCCATTATCTGTCATTGTACGTAGATTCGAGATTTAAAAGATGCAGGATAATTATTTCAACACACTACTTTTTAATGTCAACATGCAACTTATTAATGTCAACATGCAACTTATAATGTCAACATGCAACTTATTAATGTCAACATGCAACTTATTTATGTCAACATGCAACTTATTTATGTCATCATGCAATTTATTTATGTCAACATGCAACTTATTTATGTCAACACGCAACGTATTTATGTCAACGTGCGAGAAAATTATATAACATTTTTAAATAAGTTTTCTTATTATATCACAAATGTAATAAGTTTCACTATAAACCCTGAAAAATGCCAAGTCACACCGGAAACAGTTATGTCACGCCGGAAACAGTTATGTCACCCCCGACGGAAACAGTTATGTCATCCTTTCTATCACGTTCACGTGTTGTTACGTTACGCATTTTTGCCAGTCGGTGATAGGAAAGCCCTGGAGTGTTATGTCACCCTCTGCCTTCGGCATCGGGTGACATAACACTCCAGAGCTTTCCTGTCACCTCGGGGTAAATATTCTGGTATGTCACCCTCGAAGCCATGTGATATATGTATAATGTCAACGTGTGACATAACTACCCAGATAGCATGACTATGTTGGGCCAACATTTGTTAAAAGTTGTATGGTTGGCGTTGGGGGAACAACGTTGGGCCAACGTTGGACCAATGTTACCAAGTCAACCTTCTCGACTATGACGGAATTCCTATGTTGGGCCATTGTTGGTCCAACATAAGCAACTTCCATTCACTTTAGTTTCCAAAGAAGGAAGGATCATGGCGTTGGCCCAACGTTGGACCAATGTTTATAATACACCCTGAAAGAAAGTGTATTTACAAGTTGGTAGTAGTATGTTGGCCCAACGTTGGCCCATTGTTTGTAATACACCCTTAAAGAAAGTGCCTTATCAAGTTTGTAGTAGTATGTTGGCCCAACGTTGGCACAATGTTTGTAATACATCCTTAAAGAAAGTGCCTTATCAAGTTGGTAGTATTATGTTGGCCCAACGTTGGCCCATTGTTTCTAATACACCCTTACAGAACGAGTCCTATCAAGTTGGTAGTAGTATGTTGGCCCAACGTTGGCACAATGTTTGTAATACATCCTTAAAGAAAGTGCCTTATCAAGTTGGTAGTATTATGTTGGCCCAACGTTGGCCCATTGTTTCTAATACACCCTTACAGAACGAGTCCTATCAAGTTGGTAGTAGTATGTTGGCCCAACGTTGGCACAATGTTTGTAATACATCCTTAAAGAAAGTGCCTTATCAAGTTGGTAGTATTATGTTGGCCCAACGTTGGCCCATTGTTTGTAATACACCCTTAAAGAACGTGTCCTATCAAGTTGGTAGTAGTATGTTGGCCGAACGTTGGCCCAATGTTTGTAATACACACAAGTGTTATTTTGTTTAGGTCTTCAAAGATGGGATATTTATATTGGGCCAACGTTGGCCCAATTATTATACTGCCAACTAATTGATGGTGTCAATTTTATAATTAGCTGCTGAGCTTTACGTTGGGACAACGTTGGTACATTCTGAAATAATTAAGAGGACTTTCTATGTCCATGCTTATCATTGGATGACTGCTTTTGTTTAGATATGATATTTTCAACATTTTAACTTTGCACTTAAGTGATCAAGCACCAAAGAGTGTTTTATTCTATTTTTTAATTGTGTATATGCTTATTTATTTGTAATAACCCAGATAGCAGAACACCGTTGGCCAAATCTTACATTATGGTTCTATTATCTATGTTGGGTTACCTTGATTGGGCCAACAATGGCCCAACATGGAATATTGATAGCTGGTTATGTATAATAGTGCGCTAATGTTGGGCTTACTTTTTGGCATTATATCATAAAACTATTATCATGAGAGAAAATATTTGTTTGGGGATTGGCATCGGCCCTACGTTGGCCCAATATACCATGAATCAGACTGAGCATCATGGGTAGACAACAACCGGGCTACTTGTAATATCCGCGCCATTTTTAATCTGACACGAGCGTAATGAGACTGATACCTTGCATATCTGCACTCACTTTGTAAGTATTAATTATATGTTTGCCTCGGCACAGCTGAATTAACGTTTAGTTTTTAAACGATATCATGTACAAATCTGTGTAAATCAGACACGGGGAAGTGCAGAGGCCAGGTGCTGTTGGGTCAACACTGTACAGATAGCATGCTAACATTGGGCCAACGTTGGGCCAATGTAATCGGTTACATCGGGCCAATGTTGGCAAATGGCATTGACCCAATTTAAGTTTGCTCATCGACCCAATGTTGGCCCGATATGTTGGGCCAACGTTGTAGAGAGTGATTTCTACAGATATTCGCCCAACGTCGCGCCAACATTAGCCCAATGAATGCGACATTGTTGGCGAAACGTCAACAAGAACATTGGATCGATGTTGGCAAATGACGTTAGCCCAGTGTCATTTTGCTCTTTTGCCCAATGTTAACCCGATATATTGGACCAACATTGGGCCAATGTGTATAACTATAAACATTAAATTGTTACAAATCTGTATATTAACAAATCTGATCGTCTCTACAATCAGAAATAAATCTACAACCAATCCTACTTGAAAAATCAAGCTAGCTAAAATAAATTTAAAATTCTTATAATTTATCGAAACAAAATAAATTATCAGTGATTAAATTTTTTGTTTATATACAAGAAAAATAAATGAAAGTATAAAAATGTGTTTTGATACAGTTAAAACAATTAATAATTTGCTCCTTATTTAAATTGAAATTTGTGTCTAGTAGAATACATTTCATAAGTCTACCACTTAATTAACTTATATACACTTAACGTCGAGAACATGATCAAACATTTTGAAATGTTGAATTTGCTGAAGTTAAAACAAAATTTATTCAGTACTAAAAATAAATTGGGTTCTTTCATTTAAAATTTGTTCAGTGTAACGACAAATTTTCAATACATGTATTTTATATGGGGCAACATTGAATCAAAATTGTTTTGATGATGATTATCAAGCGTATAAATATTATGCATAAATACCTTCATCACGCAAGCTAATCACTTAATCACACCATGAAACAAAAAAGACGGTTATTCGTTAATTGACAGCTTAAACATATACTGATATACTTGTAAATTTAATCGTATGTTTACTCTTTA